CATCACTGGGAAGTTTGCAGGACACTCAGGATCCCACGGGATGGCACACAAAAAGCAGATGTAAAAGTATGTGATCTTGTTTGTCATTAATACATTTTATGCACATAAGTGCTATTTGATTACTTACAGTGGACTAAAACTAGATTCTCTTGGTATTTTAGGAGATTGGGGGATAGGTTCTTGCTGAGTGTGAGGTAAGCAAACATGGAATCTAGGGTGGTTTTTGCTCCTATTACAGTTTAAGGGTATTTTGTACCAGTGACTTAAATGGATCAGGATTCATCTTGGGATTGTGGAGGCTGTTCTGTGGGCTGTTCATCTGGTGCTGGCTGGGGCAGTGTGGTCTTACACAGCTGAGTTCTGATGGATCCTGTCTGAATCACTGCTTTGCTGGGATTTTACTGAACAAGAATATTAAATCTAAATCTTAGATCTTGCAGATTGAGGTAATTTATTAAGAAGTGTGGTTATGGGCTTTTTGATAACAATATCTCAATTTTAATAATAGAAAACAAAAAAATTGTGGTTTATGTACTAGTTGTTGTTCTTTCACTGGAATTCGGGGTCTCTGAAGCTGCCCAGTGTTTGTGTAGGTTCCCAGAAACCTGGGGCTGCAGTTCAAACAAAATTGGGCATCTACTTTAATTAATCGTTTTTAAAGTCTCACAGCCAAACTGTTTCTTAAATAGATTTGCAAAAGAGCATTTTCCTAAACTATTTGTTGTTGAGACAGAATAAACCAGGTGGTGGCCTGTGGGTTGGGCTGTCCTTCTCTCGCCCCATCCCACAAAGCCACAGCAAGGGAGCTCTTTGTCCCCAGCAGTGCCTGAACAAAGGTGAGTTCTTGTCTTGCCAGGGGCTGTGCTGGCTCCCCTCCTCCCGTGCCCCAGACTTGCTTTGTGCAGCCTTGTTTTCTCCTTTTCTTGTGGCTGGCATGGGCAAGGGAACCAAAACCAGAGTGGACTATTTCCACTCCTTGTATCTGTTGCTGCATCCCTGGCTGCCCTCAGAGAGATGTATAAATAATTGCTGCCAAGTTCTTTCTTGATGTTTTGGTCACCTTGTCTGCTGAACAGTGATTTTCTGTGCAGACAAAGCAGCACTCCAAGTATGAAAATACAGATGACTATAAAGTTACAATTTTATATTGCATCTTCTCAGTATTGAACACTTCCTCTCTAGTGATTTCAGAGTCCCATTAAAGTTAATGAGAGTGGAGACCTCTGAGCATCTTTGTGAGTTCAGGCCATTTCAATGCACAACAGAAAGGAAATGCAAATATTAAAATACTCCCAGCAACCTCAGTAGTCTTTGGTAAAGAACTCCATTTGTCCTGGGATAAATCTATGTCTGTGCCACCCAGGTCAGCCAGGCTGATGAGTCTGTATATGAAAAGTAGAAATTAGGCCTGCTCTGAGCTCACATGGAGCATTTTACAAGGCATCAGACATTATTTGTTCTTTGTGTGATCAAGTAAAGTGAATGTGTAACTCTTATGTTTTGTATTTGTCAACAGTATAAATATTGCAGTGGTAGTACCAAGCAGTACATTACTGAAAACCTTGGGTTTAAAAAGGAAACTCCTTACTTTTTGCCATGGTTCTGTGATTGGTTTTTTTCCTGGACTCTGTAGAATGGTGACCTTTTTTTTGTAAAAAGAAAAGTACAATCCCACCTGCAATTTAGAGAAGAATACTTATGTGTGAGTAAATCAAAAAGTTTGTTTTTGTTGTTAAAATATTTTTCATTCACTGGTGTTTCTTATTGATGTCTATTAATTATCCTGAAAGCATCCCCTTGGTAGGGGCTAATTGTCTGCACACAGCGTGGCCTGCAGGGGAGCAGGTAGGATTCTGCAGCCACACTTCAGTCATCAAAGGGCAAAAAGTACATCTCAGAACTAATGTTAACACAGGCAGAGCTTTGCATCGTTTCCTCTAAAGTGAGAAATCATTTTTTGAAGAAAACTTACTTGGAAAATTACTTTTTAAAATCCCCAGAAAACAACAAAAGATATGTTAAAATAACAGTACAATGGGAGTCTCAATGCAGCCTTAATTAGAGCTTGTTATGAGTATCAGTTAGTCTTACACCATTCAAAATATTACAAACTTAAATTAACATTTTATTGTTATTATCCCTTTAAATATATTAATACAGGAAGCACTTTTAAACGTTAATACATAGTATTCATATATAATGTTTTAATTTGCATTATTCATTGTGAGAGCATATTGAATAATCCAAGGCATTTCCTAAGCATTTTCCTAATATCAGCACTAGAAAACTTGTGGAAATCTTTTTTTATCCGAGGACCTTTGTGTTTTTTCTGAAGAAAAAAAAAAGCAGATTGGAGCAAGACATTTAAGCTAATGAATCAAAATCAGATATGTGCCCATTATTGGCTGATTATTGCTCCATCTGCTCAGCACTAACGTGAAAATCAATTAGGGAGTCTGCTCCCGCTGGCAGCGGCGCTGGGCACGGAGCGGCCCCGCCC